ACCACAAAAATTTATATTATGTGTCATGAGTGTTCATAAGACCAAAGTAGGGATAATGTTTCTAATCATATTCGATCACATGAAGGTGATATCATTATCATTATTATTCAATTCTACTTCAATATTCAAATGACATCATTAGTTGAACGTTAACTTAACATTAACTTGATATAAACTTAACATTAACTCAACATTAACTTGAAATTAACTTAACATTAACTCAACATATCAACTCAACATTAACTTTAAATTAACCTAACATTGACTTAACATCAACTTAACATTAACTCAATAATTATTCTATATTAACTCAACATTAAATCAACATTTACTCAAAATTACCTTGACATTACCTTGAAATCAAATCAACATCAACTCAATATCAAATTGACATCAACTTCACATTAATCACTGAATTGCCAATACATTGACATTAATTCAACTTTCAATTGAAATCAACTTGATTTCAACTTTTCATCAACTTAACATTACGTCAACATTAACGACAATAACCCATGTTAAATCGACACTAACTTTCCATCAACTTGACCATAACTTAACTTACCATAATTCAGCATAATAATCATTCATTGGTAGATCATAATCTATATATATCTACCCTGTTACTGTGCGATTCTCGAATATTTCCACCCATGTGCAGTGGCGTAGCTATGGACGGGCAGTTCGGTGCGGTGCACCGGGGCCCCGGGGCATTGGGGCCCCGGAGGGGCCCCTATATCCCAATCTGCATTAGCAGGTGTAATGCAAGAAAGTATTGGTGTGCAAATTAATTCATGAACCCTGTAACTTTTTCAATCCTTGTCAGATTTTTGTGAAATTTCTATAAAATCGTAGATTCATGTTCCGGAATGTTAGTCTAAATATTAGTTTCTGTGAAAAACTGATGACTTGATCATTATATAGGGAAATACCAAAGTTACTATTTCACCCTTTACTTCTCAACGCCATGTGGCAAAATTGAATTATTGAACTCGACTTCATTATGCTCTGGATTGAAGTTTGATCCCTTCCTAACACAATGGTTGCTGATTCACGTCAATAAATCGTTTTTAAGAGAATATACGAGTGTTTTAAGAAATTACGGCATTTTTAAATTATTTTTAACAATAATCAGATCCTACATCAACTTATTGATTAACAACTTGAGGAACCAATATTACTAATTTCTACCTCATTTTTATAGCACTTACCTAAAAAAACCTCAAATACAAAAAACAAACAGAAAGCAGACCTGTAGTCAATAATAACCAGTATGCTCTCCTCGAGTTTGAATTGCAGCATTTAACCGCCCTGTCATCGAGTTGGTCAAATTTCTCAAGTGGACTTGGAGAATAACTAGAATTCTTCAATTGTAGCTCTTGAAGAGTCTCTGACAAGGCCGGACGAATGCGAATGAGCCTCTGAAGTTCATCCCTAAGATACTCTAGAGGTTTTGAATTATTGTTGACAAAAATTAAAAAATTCCATACTTTCTTCGAACACTTGTATATTCTCTTTAAAAGGAGATATCGACGTGAATCTTGAACCAATATGCTGAGAAAGGACGAAAAAGGATCAAATTTTAATCCTAAACATAATGAAGCCAAGTTTAACCACTCATTTTTTCCACAGGGCAATAGGAAGTTAAGGGTAAAAGAGTAACTTTTGTTTGTCCCTATATAATGATCAAACCATCAGCTTTCCTCGGGACCTAAAATTCAAGAAAATATTCCGAAATATGAATATACGGTTTGGTCGAAATTTCACCAAAATCGGACAAGAATTAAAAAAGTTACAGGGCGAAATTTTATGGTGGCCGGTGAGTGTATATTCCCGTTGAACTCAACTGTGATTTTACAATATGAAATATTACTGCCAGCAGCGAGACCAGATCATAATCGTCAGTTGAAAGCTCGGTTGGAAGCTAATCAAAAACGGTCACAGGCTGAATATACTTACCTATGAAAATTTGGGTCCTTATACACGTGTCCTAAATATTTGATTGTTTTAATTCAGTTGCCCTGTTGGAGTCATTTTCAAAATACATTAGTTGTTTCAACTAAATACCGCGTTAGATTGAAATTTCTGTAAAAGTCACTGCATGGTACAAACGGAGGTGAGGCGATGGACAAATAGCTTCACTCAGATTGCAGAGAACAAGCGGAGGTATCAGGTGGCTGCCATGGCTCGTCAACATTTGCAAATACCGTTCTTAAACTTTGTCATTTCGTGACTTCATTCGAGAGAACAGAAAAATATTATACATTCAGTTGTTTTCATTGGAAATTGAATTAACTGATGAGGCTACTAGATTCATACTCAAGAGACAAATATATTCGATTCTCATTTTGAACTTCTAAACCAGGCAGCTTGACCTTGAAATTCCGAAAAGAATTGCCTGAAGCGCAATTTTGCTCATATCAACTTTCTCAAATTTCAATCTCATAACGACTCGCTTAATACAAGAAATATACATTTCTAACAATTCTGTTCTTTTTTTTCGATCTTCAACTACCTTTAACTCTAGGGTTGGAAAATTTTCTCAGTGAATTAGGGCCTCATCAACCCTCGTTGCACCGGGGCCCCGACACCTCTCGCTACGCCACTGCCCATGTGAGTTTTACTTTCGAACTTTCTAGCTGTTATAAGTTGTCATAGTGAAACGAGTCACCTTCTCAATAACAAATCAATGTGTTTTGTGCTGTTTTCATAGGTGGTCGTAGGAAAAAACATATTTTAAACAAAAATAGTTTCTAGGAATTCCTTTTTGTTTGAGTTTTGTGCTGCGTGAGATTATTATTCATATTCCTACATCATAGAGTGTAAGATTATTCAAAAATAATCAATTTACATAAAGGACTTCAAATATTATTCAAAAAAAAACAAGATCACCAGCGGTTTTCTTCATGGGACTGAATTTTCGAAGAAGGAAATCGTAGAAAAAAGATGTATTGGAACTTGGTCATTTGATTATCATGTACCTACTTACCTTTTCTATCCGAATATATGTGAGATTGTCCACATATTCTATGACAGCATGTACATGATATATATACAGGGTGTTTCATGAGGAGACTCACATAGCCAAATGGTTAATAAGGAAAATCAAGACGAGTTGATATATATATGAAAACATTTTTTGACCCTCCATAACGAAGATACAGGGTATTATGTGAAATTGTTATATAACTTTGATGGCCAATATTACAGAAATGATTCATCGTAATCTGCTGAAATTTGGCAGCGACGTATCTCTACTGAAACTATTCGAGATAACATATTATGAGAAAAAATATCCAGGTCCGGACTTGGGAAAATTTCATGTTTCATTGTTATGTCAAGAAAGTTCACTTTGTGACCACTTTTCTCGAAAAATTCCATCAGATTCAGAAAGATCAGACGAAATGCTATAAGAACTGCCCTTCAATTTACACGGCACACTTTGACCGGTTCAATAATAAAGTATGGAACAAAAACGCTCGAATGAATTTTCAATTTTGACCTTGCTGATAACTTTTATCTTTCAACTGGATTCGTGTAATTTGATTTTCTCGTACATTTTTATTGGTTAGAAATTGACAGAAGAGAGTTTTGATTTTTGTATGATTAGACATGTTAGTTTTTGACCGAACTTCTAGATGGATATGATTACTTGTGACTCTATATTATAAATTTGTAATAAAGTAAGTCCTGTTTTCATTTTATGTAACGTGGCGCTTGTTGATAGGTAAACACTGGCAATCGAAATATTCTTGCACCCAGATGCCACTTCATATTTCTAATGCTGGACAAGACAAGAATCCAAATGCTGTGCTATGTTTAATATCATAGAATATTTCCAGACCCAAGAATACTTCGCAGTAAAACCTTCACGAGGATGAACATTAGTAATTTTGAATAAATAGCAGATGCATCCTTTTATCACTTGCAGAAATGTATCAATAACAAAAAATGGAGCTGAGTTTATGCGTGATGGCATAACTAATTTGATAAATCTCCATAATATGGGCACTTGAATCCTCATGTCGTAATTTCATCAGTTGGTACCTACCTAGAACTAGCCTAGTACCTATGCCTATCAGTTCGAATTATCAACAAACGTCTCGTCTCGTCACACAAATGGAAAAGAGGGCCTAATTGATATCGTATCATTACTTCAATTGAAACCCATATAGAACAAAGTCAGGAATAATAATATCTATCTGAAACTTCGATGAAAAAATATCGTGTTCTTTCTTCTCATCTATTCTCCTATCAATTATCATTCAACGTAAATGTAGGAAAAATCAATTCACATGATACCAGTTGGAAGTTGACAGTTATCAGCCAGGTAGAAATTTAAAATTCATTCGAACGATTTTGTTTCAAATTTTTTATTGAACCGGTCAAAGTGTGCCGTGTGAATTGAAGAGCAGTTTTTATAGCATTTTGTCTGATCTTTCTGAATCTGATGGAATTTTTCGAGAAAATTGGTCACAAAGTGAATTTTTTTGACAAAACAATGAAACATGAAATTTTCCCAAGTCCGGACCTGGATATTTTTTTTCATAATATATTATCTTGAATAGTTTCAGCAGAGATACGTCGCTGCCAAATTTCAGCAAATTACGATAAATCATTTCTGTAATATCGGCCATCAAAGTTATATAACAATTTCACATAATACCCTGTATCTTCGTTATGGAGGGTCAAAAAATGTTTTCATATATATACATCAACTCGACTTGAATTCCCCTATTGACCATTTGGCTATGTGAGTCTTCTCATGAAACACCCTGTATAAATTACTTTTCATTCAATCAATATCGCTCCAAGAAAATCTTCACACTGTAATTATAAAAACCAAAAGGTAAATCATATTATACAATTTCCAAAAATGTTTTATTGTAATGACCACAACTTTCAATTCTCTTTATCCAAAGATTTCTTCACTTATTTCATCGAATATGTGTGCATGAATAATGCAATTATTTTAATTACATTAACTTTTGCCTAAGAAGTAAACTGAAGCTGCCCTCCACAGAAATGAGGAAAGACACTAAGATGAATCTAAGCCAATTCAATCTACAAGATATTTTGGAACCCCTGGCCAAAGCTAGTGCAGGAACTACTCGTAATCAGTATCTCAATGTATCCCGATTCATCGAAAACCAACCTTCTCGACTCAGGAGGGACTCCAATCTCAGTTTATTTTCGAATTTCAACAATGATGGAAGGGACAGTGCCGTTCAGAATAAAAATAAGAAGAACGGTACGTATAAGTGATATTTGCTGATAATACCTCAGCGGAGTTTTCATTTATTGAAACCACAGAACTCATATGATTGTTACTGAACACATATAATAATGCCTAAACATCGATTGCAACTGAACTGGTCAACATTGATAATGTCGTGGTCCAAAATATAGCCTGAATTCAAAGTAGAATAACTCACGAATTCCCTCACCAATTTGAAATCGGTTTTCACCGATGATTAGCCTAATCTCTTGACAGTTTGTTGTGGCAATATAAAACTCCTGTAATTTCAGATAACATTGCTACAGGGTGATCCTTGTATCCTTTTGATTGATGCTTTTTCTCGAAACGTTTTCGACGTTTTCGACGTTTTCGACGTTTTCGACGTTTTCGACGATTTATTGAATGAAATTAGAAGTTCGGATTCTCTTTCGAAGAATCAACGTTATATGTATAGTCGTCGGATATGTGATTGTGTTCGAACATAGAAAATTCTGAAGAAGTCTATACAGAGTGATACAAGAAATACTGAATGATGGAATGGAGAACAACGTAGTCTTTAGTAGATGAAACATAATTTTCTCTGTGTTACTAGTGAAATAATGGAGTGTTACTTCGTCATGAGGATGTATCTGGTGTCTGACCTCGAAATGGTTTTGTAATTTCTCGGATCGTTTTCATATAATGGAAGTACGCATTTTTAATGAAAATGATGCATTTTCGTCAAGATAAATTATGAGATCAAAAAAATCACGATTGTAGTTCCAGAAGTATGAAATTTATATTCATTCTTGACGATGGATGTACAAGGTGCAATAAAAAGTATGTCCAGATTATCCCGAGATGAAGAAGAATTGTGTTTAAACGAGATGAAAATCGCTATATGTTCCGAAAAAGAAATATAGTGTTGGTCATTGTCGGAAATTGTGAAAAATACAGTAACTTTTCATGAGGTTTATACGAGGAAATATGAAAGAGACTACAGAATTGCCAAAGATTCGATTGAAGAAGATGTCTTTCCATCAATTTCAATACAACGTTGTGGTTTTGTTGAAAGTGATATGGAGCTTCTTCTGGTGTAATTAGATTCGGAATAATATTTTCAGTGGCAGTGGCGTCACATTGGGTAAATTTGTCGATATTTATGGTGAATGTCATTGTATGCCACAGGTTTTTCTGAGTTTCATATTGTCATTGGATTGAACTATTGAAATAACAACTTTTTTATCCTCTGTGTGATTTTAGTATCTAGCTTATTTTTTGAGGAGAAAATAAAAATTCGATTTGACTCCAAATTTAACAGTAGGTGTTTTCGAAACTTCCATTGATATTACTCTATGACCCCAATCACAACCATTTTGAAATTTCAGGGCTTACTCAGTCCTCAACCACACTGAATTTTGACACCATGAAAGCATATACAGGGAGGTTAAGAATGGAAACAATTCATACTTCCAACTTCAACATCCTGTATCTCAAAAACGGAGCAAGTTAGGATACATGTTCATATGAACTTTATTCGCTAGAATATCACAAGGAATCACCCCTTGCATTTCTTCGGTGTTATTCAGATACACCCTGTATATAAATACTTAAATAACCCCTCCCCTAATAGAAATCCCAGCGACTCGACGCTCAGCGCCTAAGTAACCCTAGAGTTCTGGTCTCCTTGAAAGCCAGTGCCTCGAGCGATAACTGATACCCTGCCCATTATCACCAGGAACTCTGAATAACTTCCTAATTCGAAAAACCCGCAAAGTCACGAAGAACCCAAAGGTTCCCACTCCCAAAAGGAAGCAGGCTCGCGCTTGCGTCCGCTATCCCGCTAACCAACGCTCTGAATACTTCCGAAATTCCCGAATCTCCCGCAAAGTCCCAAAGAACCCAAAGGTTCCTACTCCCAAAAGGAAGCATCAGGCTCGCGCCCGTGTCTGCGATTTGAAACCAACTCCCTGACTACTCCCGAAATTCCCGCGAAGTCCCAAAGAACCCAAAGAACCCAATGGTTTCCACTTCCAAAAAGGAACAGGCTCGCGCCCGCGTCCGCGATCCAAAAAAGTGTATTTTGTCACTGAAACTATGTTCACCTTCCAAATTTCGCATCAATTGGTCAACAAAAAGTAGAAGGAACGATCATGAAATTCGAAGCGAGCAGACAGGTTGGCAGGCAAGAAAGCGACTCAAGAAAACCCTAGTAACGTGGAATAAATCGGATATTTCCAGTAGTAATACTATAAGTACTTCAAAATATTCGGGTTACACATCGATAACCTGTTGCATGATTATTACAAAGAGTGTGAGTTTAACAGTTGAAATAATCCGACCGCAGGAGGATATGGGCGATATGGGAATCATAATTAGCAATGGACGGAGATGATTGAGACGTGAGAAAGATAACAACCGTGCGGTGAGAGCTGATATTATACTGAGTGTAATAGGATCATGGTACACCCCCATTTTCTGGTTCTGTTTTAGAGATGAGCGATCTAAATTTGGAACGACCCGTCAACTTGATAAACTGCATGTTTTGGCATAAAAAGGTTTTATTTTCCACTTCCAGGTTTCACGGGAAGTGATAATTAATTACTTCCGATTTTCGAATGGAACACCCTGTATATCATTTCAATTTCTAATTCTGCATCATTTTCTGAATACGATGAGAGCATATAAGTGACATTTCAAACTTCAATGATTTCAATTTCATTTTTCATCTTCCATCTGAGTGTGCCATGACTATTCTGATCCAGTCTGATGTACTCATATCGACAGGTGTAATGCTAAAAAAATTTAATCCTGTCAAAAAATGTCAAATTTCTTGATTCATCAGCAAATTGAGTTCATCAAAATGGTTTGGTGTATCATGAACGTGTGTAGCACATGAGCGTTCTGACCTGTGAACGCTGATATTGCTTATATGAATAAGCGTTGCCGTTTCTCTTATATATACAGGGTGGAGACTATAACTGTGGAATAAATTCGCTAGCGGGGAGAGGGATATTTTTCCAAAATCCCCGACATGTTCATGTTTTAATGTATTCACCTCCACTCTGTGAGCAACGTGGAAGATATTGCCCTTTAGATGTAACTGAAATCACTCTCAATATGTTTTTATCAAATGTAACTCTATGGTTGGTCCCCCTTTTTGGAAAGCTGGTGGAGATATGGGAATCCAGCGTACTGATCGAATTTCAGTTCGTAGTACATTTGAGGATTGCATTGAACCAAAATGATTTTTAAAATTTTTTTTGTGCAAAATGTGTATTGATTATGTTTTCCAAATGTCCCCCACAAACAATGCACAGCAATTTTTCGCCATAAGTGATATCAACCATGTTATGCCAGCCAACGAGAAATGTCTCTTGTGTGCCGCATTCAATTTATGAAAGTACGTTGAAAATAGATCGACCTCAAATTATGTTCTGATTTAATGCAACTCTAGAACGGCTCAAAGCTACTATCATTTCAACGAAACGCTGGATTCCTCTTTCAAGCGGCTTTCCAATGAGGGGTCAGAAGCCATGGGGTTGCATTTGAAAAAAACATGGTGGAGTTGATTTCAGCTACCCCCAAAGGGCTATATCCATATATTGTTGCGTATTTCTAGAAAAATCCTTGACCTCCCCACTCGCAAATTTGTTTTAGTTTAAGTCTCCACCCTGTATAAACTCCTATTCAACTGTGCATTCCGCTATTTTTGTACCCATACCCAAGTAGATGTTATATCTTGTCAGTAAATATATGTCTTCCGTCGATCTAGAAATATAATTGACACACATTATTTGAATGATATAATCAAATAATTCATTATTGCTGGGATAATCTCAAGTATCAATAAATCAATTGATCTGCACTAATTAAATCAATTCATTTTAGGAAAAGTGGATTTAACTAACCTATGGACTGATTTTGGAGATCTAACCTCAGCTAAAAGGAGGCTTGGAAACCTGAATATTCCAAACACTAATGGATACGATCTCACAGCCAAGTAAATCATTTCTATGTTTTCAATTTCCTATTTGATCTCCAATCAACGACTTCATATTTGTTCATTAGAATTACATCGATACGGAATAATTGAAACTGTGATAGAAATTTATTTTTCTATTGTTAAAATATTTGTAGTATGTATCACAATTGAAAGTTATCTCATTATATTAAATCACCGAATAAACATTATGACAAAAATATGCTCTCCCTTTTATTTTATTTGAAATGACGATCTCATGTGCCGATCAAGAAGTTTTCACACTGTGCATTTGTTCAATGACAGAGGAAGTATGTATCTATCTATAAATCTCTAAGAAACTGTGATTATTCTATTTTTCAAAATGAGAATCTATATTTGCTTCGTCAGCTTGTTTTACATAGAGGGACCATTTAGCCTACGGTGGAGGTAAAATACTTAGGCGTCACTCTACATGGACAACTCATCTAGAACACCCACTTGGCATAAACCCTAAACAAAGGCAGATTTTTCTATAAAATCTCAGAATGAGAATTTGCCGATTATCCCATGTTATCAATCTTCTAACATGTTCAATGAATTCAAATAAACAAACAGACCGAACTTAACAACTGAACAATGTGATTGAAAAAAACCTTCTAGATCATTTGAATTCTTCACCAGGTAGACGGAAAACCGTGATTTGGGAGAATGCATATCAACTGATTGAGTTCAGATTCTACTGAAATATTTACGTTGGTCCAGAACGGAAGGATATCACTATCATTTCAATATTTTAGTATTAATTTTATTCATTCATTTATTAACATGAATAGGCTACCTAATAGATAGTTTTAACCCTTTCAGTTACAGAGTGGGACAAATTAGAACAATGTAATGAATAAGTAGTTGTGGAAGTTGGCAGTTCCAAAATGAAAAATAGATGTGAGCTTTAGCAAGGACTTAATATAGTATCTATAACTCTCATTTCTGAAAGTTACATTGCACTAAATGAATGTGAACAAAATCTGAATGATATTGTATCAAGTCATTCATTCATGTAAACAGGAAGAAAACACGAAATATATTTTTTATACATGATAGTGATAATACTAAATTACTCAAAGCACCAATTAATGAAAATATATATATTTATCAAAAGGAGAATATTATAAAAAGAATAAGAACGAAAATAACGACAAAAAAGTATCGATGGAATCCGAACATAATTGCCTTCAATCGCTTCTTGAAGCTCAGGAAAGATATCTAAACTGCTCCACATTTGAAGTGAGACAAGCGAACATTTTGTTTGTTTTCGAACCGTGATAACTTTGGATGAGATCAACCGATCTTTAATTAGTTTTGAGATTGTGATTGCCCAGTTGATTGGCTATAACATATTTTTTTACGTTTCTCCACCATTTCAGAATTATGACCTACAGGATGATATCTGAAAGTGTGATAATTTCCGAAAAGTTTGAGGTCGCCCCGTTAGCAGGATAATTTTTTTTAAATTTTTCTGACGGCAAAAACATGAACCCTAATGTGTTTCCTCGAAATGGTTTCGGATTCATCAAGATCCATACAGGATGTTTTGAGATATGCAATATCATGGATTAGCAAAAGTGATTTCGTGATTGAACGAAAAACCTTCAGGGTTAGTTCGCAGGGAGGAATAAAGTGAATGTGGAGTGTGGTTATTTTATGAATAAAATTGTCAAAGCTAGGATGTTTTTTTTTTCAGTGGATATAGAGAATGAGAATTGATGAACATATACCACGAAGAGAATACAGATAATATGTAACACAATATTTTTGTAATAAAGAAAAATTAACAACGGCAGATGTGGTCGATTATCAATATTCTATTACACCACCCCTGGCCGCTGCGAGAGCCCTAACTCTTCTCGGCATACTTGTTATCAAGCCATCAATGAAATCTTGGGGAATAGCTGCCCATTCTTCCACTATCGCATCTTCCAGTTGTTGAATATTCATCATTTCACCTTCTCTTCTCTTCAAACATAATTTTAACCTAGCCCATACATGTTCTATTGGGTTCATGTCTGGAGATACGGGTGGCCATTCCATTCTCTCAATATTATGTTGTCTCAGAACTTCGGTTACAATTCTCGCACGATGTGGTCGTGCATTATCATCGACCAGTACGAAATTGTCTCCAAAGTTTTGAGCAACTGGTATAACAACATCTCTTATACACATGTCACGATATCGAACAGCATTCATACTTTCCCTCAAAATAACTAACGTGGTGCGATGATTCATCATGATACCGCCCCATATCGTAACACCCCCACCCCCAAATGCCACCCGTGCCTCCATGTTTTCCTCCAGAAACCTCTCACCCCGTTCTCGCCATACTAAAATCCTTCCATCTGATCTGAACATATTGCACCTACTCTCATCAACGAATAAACATCTCCTCCAATCAGCTATTCCCCAGTTCAAATGGTTCTGAGCCCAAAGTCTTCGAGCTATCCTGTGGTTCAGCTTTAACAAAGTACAAGATGCCCTCCTTCTCGCTCTCAGATTGCGCTCATGAAGCCTTCTTCTGATTGTCTCATCTGAGACAACAACTCCTGTTGCATTTCTAAGGGCACAGTTCAGTTGTCCAGCAGTCTGTGTTCGAAGACGACGTACCGAAGTAACTAAGAAATTATCATTTCTATCTAAAGTCTTCCGTTGTCGTCCACCTCCGTGACGATAATTAGGATCTCCTGTTCGATCGTGACGACGGATTGCCCTGTATATTGAAGCTCTTGATGTATCGAAATACTGTCCAATGTCTTCAACATTCAAACCACCATCTCTCATTCTGAGAACCATTTGTAATTGTTCATTAGTTAGTCGTGCCATATTTTATTACAATAATCAAATGTTTGACAATTTCTGATTATTTCCCAGACAACATATTATACCGAGGGGTTAACCAATGAATTTAAGGTATTCAAAAAATTCGAATAGCCATTATGTTGTTCAAAATTGCATATCTCAAAACATCCTGTATGGATCTTGATGAATCCGAAACCATTTCGAGGAAACACATTAGGCTTCATGTTTTTGCCGTCAGAAAAATTTGAAAAAAATTATCCTGCTAACGGGGCGACCTCAAACTTTTCGGAAAGTATCACACTTTCAGATATCATCCTGTAGGTCATAATTCCGAGATGGTGGAGAAACGTAAAAAAAATATGTTATAGCCAATCAACTGGGCAATCACAATCTCAAAACTAATCAAAGATCGGTTGATCTCATCCAAAGTTATCACGGTTCGAAAACAAACAAAATGTTCGCTTGTCTCACTTCAAATGTGGAGCAGTTTAGATCAGAAATATTTCCAACAACAGAATTATAAGATCCAACGCATCTATGTAATGTATGCAGTTAAAGTTGAGACTACTGAAAGGGGGCGACGAATCAAGTGAGTTGTTGACTATTTTATAAATCATGCATATCTATCATGCGGAAAAGTAAAATCGTACGGAAATGTACAAATTTCGAATCAAAAAATGGTGCGGAAAATAAAATTTTCCGCACGCTCGTAGGAAAATTTGTTTCAATAACTCAGTTGACTTTGCCTAGACTATACCAGTTGTTCAATATACCAGGATGACACTAGAAAACTAGTTGGTTGCACAAAAAAATTGAAAGTAGATTTTGATAACAATTGATATCGAGTGATAGTCTTTATTTGAATTCTCATCATGAGAAGTTTAGAACCCAACACATTCCACAACAGTCACATTCTGCTTAGAAACATTTTGAGAATCTGCATTGATATTCAACACATATCAGCTAGAGAATCATCAGTATAGGTGCCTATAAGATGAATTTGACATCAACTACCTTCAAAAATGTGGAAAAAAATATTATCAGTTACTACCAAATCTGACATTTTGAAGACTATGCATTGAAATTTCAAAACATTTCCTCAAATGACTCTGAAGAATTACCTATACTCGGTCTCAAGAACATAGGGAATAGGAGAATTCGAATAGAATGAGACGGTTTTAGGAATATGTATAAGAAGAATGGCATTTTCATAATAGCAGATTTATATTAATTCTAGCTCTTCCGTTACTGATTTGGTTTTGACCGCTTACAACTTAGGATCGACTCAAGGTACTCGATTTTCTGTTTCATCTGGAAGTTTTCATACAACAGCGAATTGTTCTTACGAATCTGAAAAACAGAAGATTCAGTTGACATCCATACCAGATGAGTGGTCATACCTCTGAACATGGACCATCTACACTCTTTTTTGACCAAAAAGTGATTTCATTATAGATCCATGAGGTTTCGAACAGGCGATATCCCAAATTCGAACTACGATAATGGAATTTTTGTATTTTATTGAATAGTCGATGAGGTCTTATACATTTTCAGAACAAGAGTCCATGTATCAAGGTCCGGTGGTCGAGAGTGCGAAGGCTCTGAGTTCGTATGGGAACTCCCACCGACACATGGGTTCGAGCCCCAGTTAGGTCATGGATGTTTGTGTACGTAAGCATCCCTAGACCCGCACACGTTTCGACTTATGGGGCGTTGGTTGCAGTACTGGGACCAATGAGGGAATGCCCTTAATTGAAAAAAAAAGTCGCAATGGAACTTTTATTGCCAAAAATGCTAGCCCTTGGGGGCCAGCAAGAATTGCTCTAGTTATGCACTGCAAATCTTTCGTCCGCCAGTCTACTTAGTCATTTGTTTCACTATTCTTTGTTGAATCTACTAAATCTGTTAGAGGTTCATTACCCATGACTTGCTTTCACTATATATTAGACAGGCTGATGAAGCTTACCCCTCAGGAATATGATATATCGTTAAACAAGTATATATATTGACGAGGCTTCCACAGAATTATGGTGATCTATAGGGTGACTCAGAAACGTCCTGGAGCTGATGTCTCGTGAGCTGAAATTGTTACATTGCTCGACTGATCAGAATCATTAAATTTCCAGAATCGTACATCGAATAGTATTTATTTGAAATATTGACTGTCTAAACCTGTGCGACTATCACAAATCATTATGCATGGAACATCAATCACAAATTAGTTCATCTATCATTTGACAGGTATCATTAACTGGCAAACATGAGTGGGTATACATGAATATTTTGAACAATCAATCATCTATATAATTCCTATGCTCTGAGGTATGGCCTATCATCCAGTGTTTCGAAAATCTAAAATGGACGAACTTCCTGTAAAAGTAAAGCTTTCTC